TCAAGGTAGAGCAGAGTAAAACTAATACTAGGCTCAACACTATTCAATAGTAAAGAAATAATTTGAGCATCCTCTTGTTCCCATTGATCAAACCCTGGAATGTCTTCCTTGGGTTTAGGATTCATCAAATATTTTTTAAATCTTTTGCCTCGAAGAAAAACTTGAACAGATCGGGACCATAAAGTGTAATTAGTTCCATTAAGTTTGACAAAGGTCATAGGACCATGAATAAGAGTCGGAGGAGGCAAAGATGGAGTAAGAGACCTTGCATCTTGTTTGAGTTCCATAATAGTGCAGGAACTAGAAGAAAAGGGGTTGTTGGAAGATTGAATCGGACTGGAAAGGTGGCTGGACCGCTAAACCAGTCTGAAAAAAGGAGTTGGACCACTGAACCGGTAAAGCCAAGCCCTTTGGAAGAATGAACCGAACTAAAAAAGGGGCTAGACCACTGAACCGAACTGAAAAAGGAGACTGGAAGACTGAACCGGACTAGTTGAGCCCTCTGGACTGCTGAACCGGACCGACTTTACTTGCTGGATCACAGAATCGGGCCAGTTCAACTTCCTGAACCTCTGAACCGGGCCGGTTTAACTTCCTGAACCACTGACTCGGGTTAGTTGGACCCTCTGAACCTCTAAACTGGACCGAACCGGTCTAAGATGGACCAAGTCTGGGGTTGGACCGTGGGTTGAACTTAGACTTAAAATAATTAAAGTCGATGGGCTTGACCCGATCCTACCCAACGCGTTGGATCTCTTCTCCTTCGTTGAGGTTAGGGTTCCCAGAGAGCCCTCTGGTCTCTGACGGTGCCACACCCCACAACGAAGACTGCAGCACACCACCACAATCACACATCCACCACGAACACCACTACCCAACTATCAACAAGGACCACACCATCATCATGAACGATCACCCAACCACACCAACAGTCGACAATAACAGTCGACGATAACAGTGATCGCACCACCACCACGAGCGATCACGCCACCACACCAACAATCGACGATGAACAGGAACCACGACAATAACACAGCCACACGCCACCACAATAATGGTAATATATTTAAGATCGTAAGTGCTCTGATACCATGTTAAATTGAGATAATTAACATAATACAATATTAGGGAGAAAGAGAGAGGTTGAAAACTTAACTTAGCTCTCATATATCACTTGTATTTATAATTAACTTACAATAATAAGAATTACACATACACCCTCTTACTATTAACAATTTACACATATTACTCTACTATTCTTAACACAGCTCATTTAGCAGCCTCAGTTATAGCTCACAGCTCAAGGCTTACCAGTCCACTCTTCTCTCATTAGGATCCCCTCTGCTCAGTCACCTCTCATTGCTCAGGCTACTGGTTCTCTCGGTTCCAATTATCAGCTCAATTATAATCACTTGCAGCTGGTCATTAATGCTGCCCACACCTCAGTTGCATTTTTGCTCTCTTTTCAATTTTATTCTATGTAATTGGTGTCTTTATTCTAGTTTGGCTGCTTGAATTGACTTTAACCAGTTGCTGTCTGCTGGGATGGTTTTGAGGTTAGATGCTGGGATATTGATGATTGAATTGATTTCTGTGGAAGTCTGCTTGGTTGCTGAACTGGTTGTTAATCTGTTCTGCTTCAGTGATTTTCTTCTAACTGGTAGATTGCTGCTGTGAGTTGGGCTGTAAGCAATGGTGCAGGAGCTGTGGTGGGGTTTATTTGAGTAGCTCTTTAAGCAGATGGAAATGAGGCAGGGTCTGGTTTCTTTAGTGACATATGCAGGCAATTTGGGGTTGTGAGACCATGGGTTGTTTCTGGACTGTGGTAATTAGTATTTGGTTTTAGTCCTCTTGAAGTATTAAAGCCAACTTCCTTGTAATAAGAATTTTCAATTCTTTTGTTTCTTATAATTTCTTGGTTTTCATGGAATAAAATTCTCTCTTTTTCTTAAAAAATAAAAACATAAAAACATATTTGCAGCTGGTTCAAATTTAGACTGTTTCTACAGTCTGCATTGGGACTGTTCTGGAATCTGCATTGGTCTATTTCTGAGTATGGAATGGGGCATGCAGACCGGAGTTTTTAAAAATCAGGGGGGGTCATAAATGTAATTAGAAATGGTTTAATCCATCTTGAAGAATTAAAACCATTTTTTCATACTTTTAGAATATTTGTTCTTTGATTCTTGTAATTCTTTCTATTTGGAAATAAAATTCTCTTTCTTAAAAAAAAAAAAAAATTGGTCAGGCATATTTAGGATATTTAAAAAAAAATGATATATTATAAAACATATTTAGGATAAAAGTGAAGTAGTTATCAAACATATTTTTTGTTTTTTATTCTCAAAATTTGATAGACAAAAATGACATTCAAACATGTTTTATGTTTCAATATTTATCACAAAACAGAGACAAAAATTGTCTCTGTTTAATTGTTTTGAAGACGCGAAAACGAAAACGTTACCAAACACCCCCTAGTACTTTCGTTTGATGATTTCTGTCTCTGTTTCTTGTAGGTTTGAATTTTGCTGCACTTTAAGGTACTTTAAAGTGGTTGTTATGTTCATTGCCATTAGCTCATTGTCCCAAGCCAAGATATCCACTGCCCATTTGTTATGTTCATAAAGATTTGCTCAATTGCGAAAAAAAGGTTTGGCTTAAAAAAATTTGCTCCTGAACATTTGAAGTTATTTTTAGCTTTATTCGCATGTTATCTAAGATCCCGACGGGTTTTTGCTTAGTATGTCTAGACCTGAAACATAATTTTATCTCTTTGTTCTGTTTACAATACAATCCCATTTGATTGCATTTCAAGGTTATGAGATTGGTACGAGAAAGTCACTAAAGAAATTAAACCTTTCCACCTTCAGTTTTGCAAAAAGGTGCACTAGTATCCCAAAAAAAATGTTTCCATTTAACTGTGTATATTATGACAATATTTCCAGCCCTTGGCCAAAGTTGTTCAGCGATTGTGCTCCAGCACCTCAGCCATCTTCATCTTCTCCCCTGCTCATGCTAATAAGTTGCTAACTGCTTACGGTAACCCTTGGATTTTTATTTTATTTTTCCAATTCTGTAAAGTTATTTTCATTGACAGTTATGAGAGAGTTTCACCTACTACATTATTTAAGCCTCTGGATTGATCTACTCATTCTTCAATGGCCTAGGTGGAGGTAATGCCTTTTTTCATGTTGTCTATTGTTAGTTTCTCTAGAACTTCAAGATTTGGGTTATTCCACATAGTTGATACCTTAGTAAGAATTGTTTGGGAGAAGAAGTCTGAAGTTGAAATATAAATATTCTAGTTCGACACTTATTATCTCCCTGTTTGTCGATCTAATCTAAATGATAATTTTTGTTTATTTTTTATTTCCTTGATGTTGGATGAGTTAAATCAATTGAATAAATATCTTTATTCTCGTATTGTCTTCTATTTTTTGAACATGATTTCATTTTACCAATCATCTACTTGGAGTTGTCTAATTATGTACTCATCCAACCTACCAGCCACGCGCCCTATAACATCCCAATGTGCACAATGATAAATGATTTAACTTAAATTGTTTTGATGCCATTGCTTTTGTTTTTAAGGGTTGATCAAATTCAGAATCAAGGAAGTTGGGAACATTTGATTTGGCTAGTTATCCAAAGACAATTTTTTTCATATTTGTTTAATATTTGGTTGCTTTTTTCTCTATTTAATGTACGGGCCATATTACATTTGCTGATTATTATTTGTTCAATATTATTGGCCATCAGGCTAAATTCCAAAGTAATTTTTGTTCTCTTTGTTTTTCTATTTAATAAATAGTTGATTCATGCGCTCAAACACTAAAGGCAAAGTCCTAGTTGATAATTAAATTTTTTATTCTTTGTTCTATTTTTGGTGTGTTTAATGATGATGTTGATATAGATTTAGGCAAAGGCATGTAGGTGAATGCCCTTTTTTGAGGAAATCTATACTTATGTTTTTAGGTGTTGATCCGAATATATAGTAAGTAAAGTGTTTGATTGTGGTCCGTGGAGTGTTTTTATGCAGTGGGATTTTTTCTCAATTAAATAGATTGATTTTTTTATTGCTTGTTGCCATGGGGGCATGGTAAAAGATTGATAAAGCAGGACATTACCACTAGAAATTCTTTGACTGTAAATGCTAATAAAATGTATTTTTGTTATTTTTGAATGGATAAAATTACTTCAAAAAAATGACATCAACTTGTGTTTTACTGAGTACATAAATTTTGTAAAATGGGTAGTGTTTTTAGAATGTGTTCGATGAAATACATTGCTTACAAGGGGAGAACAGATTCATGGTTATGCTGCTAAAACCCAGATTCATGGGTAGTGTTTTTCAAAGTGCATTAGCGGACATGTATGCAAAATGTGGAGACTTGAATAGTGCTAGGAGAGTATTGGAGGCCATGGTGGTTGATGATGTGGTTTCTTGGAACTCCATGATTGTTGGGTGTGTGAAACAGGGATTGGAAGAGGAAGCATTGTTGTTGTTTCAAAAAACGTGTTACAAAAATATGGATATTGATGATTTTACATACCCTTCAGTTCTAAACTGTTTACTTCCAAAAAGGACATGAAAAATGCAAAATCTCTCCACTGTTTGATTGTTAAAACGAGATTTTAGTGTTACAAGCTCATAAACAATGCTCTCGTAGACATGTATGCAAAATTGAGAGACCTAGATTGCACAATTGAGGTGTTCAATAGTATAGTGGACAAGGATGTGATCTCATGGACCTCTCTTGCCACTGGCTATGCCCACAATAGCTCCTCGTGAAATGTGATTCCCAGGGATTGATACTGACCAAATTGTCATTGCCAGCATATTAAATTCATGTACGAACCGACAGTTTTGGAATTTGGGCAACAAGTTCATGCAAGTTTTATCAACTTTGGCTCTGGTGCATCCTTATCAATCGACAATTCTCTCGTGATTATGTATGCAAACTGTGGGTGCCTAGAAGACGTTAATAAAGTTTGACTCGATGCAAATGCTGAATGTGGCACAAAACCCGATTTTTGCAGAACATGGACTCCCGTACTTCAAATCCATGGATAAAGTTTATGGGATTAAACCAGGTGCTGATCAGTATGCATGTATGATTGACCTTTTGGGGCGCTCAGGAAAGATGCACGAAGCCAAGGAGTTGCTCAATGAAATGGTTGTGGAACCTGATGTAACTGTGTGGAAAGCATTGCTTGCTGCATGTAGGGTAGCAAAGAGAGGGCAGCTAAGGCTCTCTTTGAATTGGAACCGCAAGATGCTGTGCCTTATGTTATGTTAGATAACATGTATTCTGCAGCTAGTAAGTGGGAAGATTCAGAAAGAATTAGAAAATTGATGAAATTGAGGGATGTTAATAAGGAGCCTTTCTGTAGTTGGATCGAGATGAACAGCAAAGTGCACACTTTATGTCGGAAGATAGAAGCCATCCAAGGACCAATGAGATTTACTCAAAGGTTGACGAAGTTCTGATATTGATCAAGGAAGCTGGGTATTTTCCAGACAGGAATTTTGCACTCCATGATATCAATGAAGAGGGCAAGGAACTCAGACTTGCCTACCACAGTGAGAAGTTGGCTGTTGCTTTTGGGCTTCTCGTTGTGCCACAGGCAGCGCCTATTCATATTTATAAGAACCTTTGCGTCTGTGGGGACTAACATACTGCTATGGAATTTATATCAAAAGTTTTCCACAGGCCTATTGTTTTAAGGGATTCGAAATTATTTCATCATTTTAGGGAAGGAGTGTGCTCTTGTGGGGATTATTGGTAAGAAGTCATTTTTGTTCCTCTCTAGTTTCTCCGAGGGAATGAGATCAAATGGAAGTCATTCTTGGAACTAATTTTGCGGGATTGGATGTTTTCAGAGTTAATTTTGCGGACTTGATATTGGGGCTATTACAGCTCTTGAAATGGTTTAATCCATCACTCCTTCCACTTTCCTTCTGATGCTACTGCCCAGGGAAGCTACCAAGCCATAATCTTGTAACCAAGTGAAGAATGATACATCAGTTAGTTGTTTTTCATTTTTTCACCTTTTATATTAGAGAAAATTAAGTATTCAACTTTATGCAAACAACACCTCTGCGGCGCACTTGGCTTGTTAATAATGTATAGACACCCAACTAGATGTTCTAATAAAGCTGCCCAGGAAAAAAATGCTTTTCAATGGATTGCAAAATGGGGTAGCCCTTTTACATAGTTATAAACTACAGCTCCCTGAACAATACCAGTATAGGTGTTGGATGTCAAAAACTGATTCACAGGATCAGCATTGATATGGCTTGTCACGATCACTTGCAGGACTAGCCAAATTGAACACCCAATAGATTAGGAGCACTGGTGGTGTGCTGGACTAAGGCTCCCCACCATTTTAGCCAATTATCTTGGTGCAATGGTAAGATTGTTCCATAATGACCTGGAAGTCACGGGTTTATGCCACTGAAATAGCCTCTCTGTTTGCAAAGGTAAGATTGCGTACATCTAATCCTCTTCAGACCTCGCAATGACGAGAACCTTGTGTACTGGGTTCACCTTTTTATCTTCTCGTCTTACAACTTACCTTTCATTAGGTTGGAATTGCACGTACCTTCAACATGTTGAATCACCTTTTATATATGAGTAACGTAGCTTGTATGTAGGAGATGATGTAGGAGAAAACTTTAAGTCGGTCTGTAGCAAATTCTGTGGGATTCTCTTCCCTTATTCTTCATTCCCTTGGACTACCTCCTGAATGTCGTGGACTCATGGTGGAGGAATTAGGGCTCCTCATTGGAATTCTGTACAGTGCCATTTCAGCAATATGTTGTACTGTTGTATACCAACTCAGTCTTCGTTCGAGCTCTGCAACCTCGATCTCAGACCTCTTCACAGCAAGCTAACGAGCTCAGAATGCTCTCATTAATAGGTATATAGGCAAAGGCAAGATTCAGTCCCAAGTAACTGGTACAACTACATAGAACCATAGTTGAAGGTCATGGTATCGGTCATTAATTCGGAGAGCTCTAAGATACATCGGTTGTGACATCATATCATGGTATTGGGCGATACGATTTAAAAAAAAATGTTGAACATGGAGAGAGATTTAGGTCATATTTTACTGTCACACGGAGCTGTTTTGGCCAATTCAATGACGATAACTCGGTGACTCGGTGTTGACTCGGAAGACTTGACTCGGAATTTATATGTATTGTGTAACAATATCATTTCGGAAGGTACCGTGTCGGATATAACTCGATCGACTCTTATCAGTATCGGCCGATGCTTCAAATCATGCATAGAACTGTCAGCTTCCTAAGAATTTTTTTTACTGGGATAGTCCACAAATAGTAATTCTGATTTTCGAATTACCACTATTTCAAGTGACCTTGTTATGTGAATGGTTTTTCATCAGAATCTGAAGTTTCTATTTTATTGAGTAGATTATTGAAGATTTAGAGGAGTTTGCATGACTCATTCTGGTTCTTGCTCTGTAGGTTTTAGAAGTTGCAGGAGTTCCTCTTTGAGCTGATAAACTACAGCAAAGACGGTTATGAATCAAGCCACTGTTTATTTGCAGCTGGAGCATGATTTGCTGCTTATTTGCATGACCACCATGAGGTGCCCTGCATGTTTGATTTGTTTATGCAGCCTTTCCTTCCGCTTAAGAGACTATGATTATAAATCTATATACACGGAATCAATTAATATGTATTTTATATTTGTATTTAATATTCTAAAGCGAATCGATATAGGGTTAGTTTTATAATTTGGATGTCGTACATTTTGATAATTTTGATTGTGAACTTACCCCATTTGAAATTGATGTACCCAGATTGTGGATAGTTAAGGAAATTCTGATAATAGTGATGCAAACAGCACCTCTTCTGCGCATTTGGCTTGTTAATAATGCAGAGAGAGACCCAACAATAGATGTTCTACTAAAGCTGCCCAGGGAGAAAAAATACTTTTCTATTTTTTGGTTCTGATTCAATGCAGGATTGCAAATTTGGGGTAGCCCTTTTACATAGTTATAACCTACAGTCGAGGTTTAAAATTTTATTTTGGTGCATTGTTTTGAATGCATAAACGAAAATGTTTCGACGTGTTTTGAAAATATTTTGATCGGTTTCGGAAATAAAATTAAAAAAAAAAAAAAATTTAAGAATTAATTTTTCAAAATATTGGTTAAAATATCTTAAAATATCACTCAGACTTATTTTGCATAATATCGAGCAAGTAGCTTCTACATTTACCTGTGTGTGGTAATTGAGGATCATTCTATAAACTGATATGCTTGAAACTCAACTTGCACTCTGCATCTTGTCCTACACCTCTGAAATATGCCAACGACACAACTTGTTGTGGCTCAAGAACATGTGATGCCTAAAGCGATGAGTGTTAATGAAATTTTTTTTTTTTATTAATGTTCTAAAATTTTAAATTAATTTTATTTTATCCTTTATGAGAATGAATAGTTTTAGTAAAAATTGGGGCTAAGTCTTCATTGATGGACTTATAATAGTATAAGTTCATCAAAGAAACTTATTTAAAGATAAGTTTATTTTGAATCTTATTAGTAAGTAGTTAAGTTCACTTTTTTTAATCTCAAAAATACATTTAACAATGTTAGTTTGATCAATTATGAAAAACTAAAGACATTAAGTACTTGATGTTAGCATAGTAACATTAGTTTAATAACATCAATTTCAAAACGTAATTTACTGATACATATCATAGTCACATCTGTCCATATATAATCATAATTTTCAGTGTTGAGATTTTTTAGTATGAACATAAGACATTAAGCATAATAATATTTGAAAGTAACATANTTTTTTATTCTCAAAATTTGATAGACAAAAATGACATTCAAACATGTTTTATGTTTCAATATTTATCACAAAACAGAGACAAAAATTGTCTCTGTTTAATTGTTTTGAAGACGCGAAAACGAAAACGTTACCAAACACCCCCTAGTACTTTCGTTTGATGATTTCTGTCTCTGTTTCTTGTAGGTTTGAATTTTGCTGCACTTTAAGGTACTTTAAAGTGGTTGTTATGTTCATTGCCATTAGCTCATTGTCCCAAGCCAAGATATCCACTGCCCATTTGTTATGTTCATAAAGATTTGCTCAATTGCGAAAAAAAGGTTTGGCTTAAAAAAATTTGCTCCTGAACATTTGAAGTTATTTTTAGCTTTATTCGCATGTTATCTAAGATCCCGACGGGTTTTTGCTTAGTATGTCTAGACCTGAAACATAATTTTATCTCTTTGTTCTGTTTACAATACAATCCCATTTGATTGCATTTCAAGGTTATGAGATTGGTACGAGAAAGTCACTAAAGAAATTAAACCTTTCCACCTTCAGTTTTGCAAAAAGGTGCACTAGTATCCCAAAAAAAATGTTTCCATTTAACTGTGTATATTATGACAATATTTCCAGCCCTTGGCCAAAGTTGTNAAGGTGCACTAGTATCCCAAAAAAAATGTTTCCATTTAACTGTGTATATTATGACAATATTTCCAGCCCTTGGCCAAAGTTGTTCAGCGATTGTGCTCCAGCACCTCAGCCATCTTCATCTTCTCCCCTGCTCATGCTAATAAGTTGCTAACTGCTTACGGTAACCCTTGGATTTTTATTTTATTTTTCCAATTCTGTAAAGTTATTTTCATTGACAGTTATGAGAGAGTTTCACCTACTANTTGGCCAAAGTTGTTCAGCGATTGTGCTCCAGCACCTCAGCCATCTTCATCTTCTCCCCTGCTCATGCGTATAAGTTGCTAACTGCTTACAGTAACCCTTGGATTTTTATTTTATTTTTCCAATTCTGTAAAGTTATTTTCATTGACAGTTATGAGAGAGTTTCACCTACCACATTATTTAAGCCTCTGGATTGATCTACTCATTCTTCAATGGCCTAGGTGGAGGTAATGCCTTTTTTCATGTTGTCTATTGTTAGTTTCTCTAGAACTTCAAGATTTGGGTTATTCCACATAGTTGATACCTTAGTAAGAATTGTTTGGGAGAAGAAGTCTGAAGTTGAAATATAAATATTCTAGTTCGNATTCTTCAATGGCCTAGGTGGAGGTAATGCCTTTTTTCATGTTGTCTATTGTTAGTTTCTCTAGAACTTCAAGATTTGGGTTATTCCACATAGTTGATACCTTAGTAAGAATTGTTTGGGAGAAGAAGTCTGGGGTTGAAATATAAATATTCTAGTTAGACACTTATTATCTCCCTGTTTGTCGATCTAATCTAAATGATAATTTTTGTTTATTTTTTATTTCCTTGATGTTGGATGAGTTAAATCAATTGAATAAATATCTTTATTCTCGTATTGTCTTCTATTTTTTGAACATGATTTCATTTTACCAATCATCTACTTGGAGTTGTCTAATTATGTACTCATCCAACCTACCAGCCACGCGCCCTATAACATCCCAATGTGCACAATGATAAATGATTTAACTTAAATTGTTTTGATGCCATTGCTTTTGTTTTTAAGGGTTGATCAAATTCAGAATCAAGGAAGTTGGGAACATTTGATTTGGCTAGTTATCCAAAGACAATTTTTTTCATATTTGTTTAATATTTGGNTAAGGGTTGATCAAATTCAGAATCAAGGAAGTTGGGAACATTTGATTTGGCTAGTAATCCAAAGACAATTTTTTTCATA